CTCTGGGAACCCTAGTGGCGGCTCTTGATGCATTTAGCAATGAAGCGAAGCCCCTGGGGCTAGAGGTCTCCTGGACCAAGACCAAGATCCAGGATTTTGGGGGCCTACTAGGAGACCCTGTGCAGTCGGTCCGTGCTTGCGGTGAAAACATCGAAGTCACTAGGAGTTTTATATACCTCGGTAGTGCAGTTCATGACTCTGGGCTGTCAGACCAGGAAGTCAGTAGACGGATTGGCCTGGCAGCAGGGGTCATGAAATCTCTCGACAAGAGTATTTGGAGATGCCGGTACCTGTGCAGAAGGACCAAGCTACGAGTTTTCAAGGCCCTGATACTGCCAGTTTTACTATATGGTAGTGAAACTTGGACGCTATCTTGTGCTTTGGAATCTCGTCTCGATGCCTTTTGTAACAGATCCCTGCGCCGGATCATGGGGTACAGTTGGCGGGACCATGTATCCAACCAACAGCTACACCGTGAGACCGGTACAGGACCTGTTACTTGCACAATCCGTGATCGCCAACTCAGGCTATATGGCCACTTGGCTCGACTCCCGCAGGATGATCCTGCCCATCAGGTTGTCTCTGTTCGAGACAACCCTGGGTGGAGGAGGCCTGTGGGACGCCCAAGAAGGTCATGGCTTGGGCAGATCGATCAAACCTGTCGTGAGGAACTAGAGATGGGCCGGGCTCCTGCCTGGCGACTCGCCATGAGAGACCCTCGCAGGTGGAAACGAAGGGTGGACGCGGCTATGCGCCCCTACCGGCGTTAGCCCCTCAATGATGATGATGATATATCTATATACATACAAGTACAGGTATATATGTATATTTGTATATACATATATACCTATGCTGTGTCTTGTGCCTCCTGTGATAAGCAGTATTTTGGCTAGACAGGCGTCTCACTAAGCGTCTGTCTCAACACAAGTACGCTGTATCCAGGGGACACAACAACAACGCCCTCTTTTGCCATTAGTGGGACACAGGCCATCAGATAGGCTGGTCAGCGGCGCGAATTGTCTTTCCTTCCTCTGATGTCCACGTCCTTCTAATTTCAACCTGAAGTTATCTTTATTATTCGAATGATATAACCAAATCCATTTCTACTCTCCCCATTTTACAGACAGTAAGACACAGTGAGTGGCAGCTGATCCACACGGCGCTGAGGCCCATGCTCGACGAATGGAAGGCTCCCCGAGGATATGTTAGGAAGAAAGGAATGTACAAAACGAAAAGAGGTATTAATGAGAAAAAAAGCGGCCAAATGAGAAAGACCAAGAAGGAAAATGGAGCAGGAGAGACCCAGGGAAGGAAGAGACGCCCAGGTAAGACCGACTGTCCCGAGGCCCTCTATCTCTTCTCCCGCCTCGCTCCGGACTATGACTGCAAGAAGAGATACGTTGGCTACACGTGCACGCAGGCGATTGTCACCACCATCCCCAAAGTCCTTAAGGATGTGGGTTGTGAAGGCACAAGGATCGTCGTGGGATTTTCTAAGGTAGGTTAATAGATAAGGTGGTGATGAAAAATAGTCATCTAATGGGCAGGTGTCTCTATTCGCTACGACTTTCGATCACTTTCAATGAGGAAACAGTCCCTGGTAACTCGTCCATCAGATTGTACTTATTCTCATATTTTCTTAAAAAAAAAACAAAAGAAAAACTGTGATGTTCATAGACACATATTTACTGATTTTGTTGAATCAATACCTTTCAGTAAGTTGATTTCGTAAATCTGTGACACGAAATATTGTAAAATAAGACATATCCACTAACCCATGGAATAACTTCTTTTCAAGTAGGTATATAGATATTAAAAAAAGTAAAATAGTAAAAAAGTAGTAAAAAAATATATATTCACACACACACACATATACTGTGTGTATGTACGCATTCCGTGCAGCAGTAGTTGAGTTGCCAGTTGATGTATTTTAGACGAAAGACTCGTCGAGAGAGACTTCTTCAAATTGGGTAAACAGACGATTGATAATCTCTCTCTCCCTCTCTTTCTCTCTCTCTCTCCCCAATTGTCGCCTGGAGGTTACTGCTGTGGCTGGGCACCACGGCGGGTAAGGACAAAAGCCGAGCCAGCACCAGCTGACACACATTAGCGAGTCGACATTAGTCGACACAGGCCGGGCTCCCCTCATAGCCCGGGCGAGGCTCAGCTTCGCATATCGGACTTATCCTTATATATGTATATATAGATCTGTAAATGTACATATGAATATATATATATATATATATATATATATATATATATATATATATATATATATATATTCATAAATGTAAATTAATATATGAATACATATATATGTATATACATACATACATACATAAATGCTACCCCCCCCCCACATATATATATATATATATATATATATATATATATATATATATATATATATATATATATATACACACACTACACACACACACACACACAAACACACACACACAGATGTGTGTGTATACACAATTATGTGTGTGTACACATGTATACAAACAATCTACATGTATATATATATATACACACACATATATATTTAGAGAGAGAGGGAGATAGAGAGAGAGGCAATTCCAATTTGTATTTTTTCTTCAAACTAAGGGAGAAATATCAGTAGAAACTGTCCACCTTACAGCAAGCTATGCCCCCTTTGCTCAGTCTAGTCAGTGAAGTTTCTTGCGACGGACGGCAGGAACGACACCTCAGTTTGTTTACATATGAGGCAGTGCATAGATTTTTCACCGTAATGCTTTAATGATTTTATCGGATTTTTTGTTTTATTTTATCATGGTAATCCAAAGCTCCAGTTCATTCAAGATATAGTATGAGGATCTAAACAGACAAATAAGTGTCATTTCTGCTGTTCCCCTAAAACGGGATGTACCAGGTATAAGTGGAGGCAACTATACCTCTGCTCATTAAAGAAGCATTTCTGAGTTAGTGAAGTATGCAGCTGCAAAACTGTCAGTCTAAATGCTCATGGTTTTAGTTAATAACAAGATTAATAATAATTTGGTATAAAGCTTTCACAAAATGTTTTTACAACTAAAAACAGAGTAATGCCAAATTCATCTAGTGACACAATAACACATTGTTAGACTATCTAGAGTGATAATATAGAGTCAGCTCAAGGGAAACGCCCTATTACTATCTTAATACAGCAAATTAAATGACAAAATATAGACCTTGGAAGAAGATAAAA